GACCCCACAAGTGAGTTCCCTCTTACTGGAGCTACTGTCCCTGAGCAGCACCCTCTGGGACCTACCCACGAGGAAGGACCGGAACCACTGCAGAGCAGTGCCCCCGATACCTAACCCCCTCAGGCGGTCCAAGATGATGCCATGATCTATTGTGTCAAAAGCCGCTGAGAGGTCTAGGAGCACCAACAGGGTCACACTCCCCCTGTCGATGCTCAGACGCAGATCGTCAGTCAAGGCAACCATGGCAGTCTCAACCCCAAAGCCTGTCCTAAAGCCGGTTTGAAATGGGTCTAGATAATCGGTTTCATCCAAAACAGCTTGGAGCTGAAGAGCAACCATCCTCTCGATTACCTTGCTCAAAAATGGCAACAAAGAAACAGGCCTGTAGTTATTCATATCCAGGGGGTCAAGGGAGAGTTTTTTCAGAAGCGGCCTAATAGCCGCTTCTTTTAGACAAGATGGAACATGTCCTTCCCTGAAGGACGCATTGATGAGTAATCCTTTCTAAGTGCCTATGCACTGTTTGTTCAATGATCTGCTCTAGAATCTTTCCTGGTATTGATGTCAGATTGACTGGGTGGTAATTATTTGGGTCCTCTTTTTTTCCTTTTCCTTTTTTTGAAGATGGAGACAACATTTGCTCTCCTCCATGGACCTTTTCTATTCTTCAGAAATTCTCAAACATTGTTGACAATTGTTCTGATGTTATGTCTCCCATTCTTTTAATACTCTTGGATGTAGTTCATCTGGCACAAGATAATTGAATTCATTTAGAGTAATGTAGCCTGATATTCCTGTACCTCCTATTTACCTATTTTGTGCTGAATTTCCCCTGCTGCACCATCTATTCTATTTTGCCCAGGCTGAGCACTGTTCTCCTTTTCAGAGATGAATGAAGGAAAGAGGGTGTTGAGAGTTCTGCCTTTACTCTGCTCCCTGTTAGCATTTTCCCATCATCTGCATGCAGTGGCCCTATCATTTCTTTGTTCCTTCTTTTGTGATTGGCATAACAAACAAACAAACAAACAAACAAGCCCTTTTTATTGTTTTTAACCTCTCTAGGAAGCCTGAGCTCATTCTGCACTATAGCTTTTCTGACATTCTCCCAACATGAGCTGGCTATTCGTTTCAAATCTTCTTTGGTGATTTCCCCCTTTTTCCTTTTCTTGTTAATGCCCCCCTTGAATCTTAGCTCATTTGAAAGTTCTTTAGACATCCATCCGGGTTTCTTTCGACACATCTCATTTTTATTTCTCATTAGAACTATTTCAGATTTTGCCATCAGTATCTCCTTTTTAAGAAATTCCTAGCTGTTCTGAGCCCCCTTCTTTAATAGTATTCCTGGTCATGGGATTTTTCAGCCTTAGCAAAAATATTCTTGCCAACTGCTTTGAGGTGCAACCCATCCCTTGTCAGATATCCAGCTCCATGATACATCATGGTCCAGGAAGCCAAATCAGTCCTGATGGCACCATTTGTTGAGCCAGTTGTTCACTTCCACTATTTTTCTCTTCCTTCCTAGGCCAAGAGAGCACTGATGGCAAAGTGGTCAAATGTCAGTATTGTAGCCACAATCTGGGGCAGGGCTCCAAGGTCCACTCAGCCTTCCATCCTTTCATAGGGTGGTAAAATGAGTACTCAGCTTGTTGGGGGCAATTGGCTTACACATTGTAAACCACTTAGGGAGTGCTAGTTTACTGATAAGCTGTATAGAAATGTACTTGCTATTGCTGTTGCTATTGCTATTGCCCTTCCACTTGAAAGATAGATGAAAAAATAATAATAGTTCATTCAAGCCCTTTAGCCATAGCAATAGCAAATATATTTTTATACTGCTTACTGGTGTACTAAGTGGTTTACAAAGGGTAAGCTAATTGCTTCCTACTCACAGCTTTATAATCCCTTGTGATAATAATAATAATAATAATAATAATAATAATAATAATAATAATTTATATCCCGCCCCTCTATAGAACAATCGGGGCAGCTTACAACATTACAATTTCCATACAGTGTCATTGGTTCCCATATAGACAAAAAGGAAGGGATAACTATCAGTGCATATGATGAGTCTTGCCAACCTCTCTATTACATCATGGATTTGCCCCACAGAAAGACAGCACAACTCTCAAGACATCTTGTCGGGTTGACAAACTACTGATTCTGTACCCCTCAGCAGGGAGGATGTAGTCTGATTTCTGTGCAGAAAACTGTATTTCATACACAGGAATGAATATTTCTGTGTTTAAATTTTAATTTCTATGCAGAAAATGCTGTTTCCTTCACAGAAAATGTAGCTTTCTGTATAAAACAGCCATATGCAAATTGTGTGCATAATAAGTCCCAAATTGCAACTAGCCTTCAAAATCTGCATAGTTTTTGAACACTTCAGGAAGAAAATTGCTAAAAGTACTCATTGCTACCTTTAAGATTAAATTTAACAAAGAATTACATCCCTAGTAGAGACATAACTTCATAGACTGAGATCCCATTCTAACTATCAGCAGTGTTTCCTGGTCTCATTGCACAGACTTTGAAGGCACCATGAAAAGGCTGTTCTTGGTCAAGTATTGGTACTATCAAGGGATATACCTTCCTAGTTTAGCAGAGTTATGCAGTACCAGCCTCCTAAAATTCTTCAGCCTATTTCTTGATAAAGAAATTGATTTGTTGAATTTCACTAAATTTCTATAGATATTTGTGAATATTTCTGTTTAAATATTATTTTCTATGCAGAAAATGTTGTTTCCTACACAGAAAAATGCAGTTTTCTGTATAAAGCAGCCATATGAAATTTTTGTGTATAATAAGTCCAAAATTACAAATTGCTTGCCTGTTCTTAACAAGTGGAAATGGCAACAGCAACTATGGTCCAAAACACACTGCAGAAATAATCCAGTTTGAGATTGCTTGAACTGCCCTGGCTAGGGAATCTTGGGAATTGTAGTTTATTGTGGCACCAGAATTTTCTGACAAGGAAGGCTAAATGTCTCGCAAAATTATAGTTTCTAGAATTCCCTGGCATTGAGCCAGGGCAGTTAATGCAGTCTCAAACTGAATTATTTCTGCAGTGTGTTTTGGAGTTATGTTTGTAATCTGGATGCCAATTTGTATTCTCTGTAAAGTCTCCAAAGTAATTCCATTGTGGGACATGGAGTGAGGGGATTGGCAGGCTTCACAGGAAGAAAAAGGTGCAGAATATTAGAGTAATTAGCTGAAGTTGCCTTTTTACAGGGAATGAGAACACAGACAATCCCAGAAATTTTCTCGTGAAAAAATCTCCCAAATTTTTTTGTCTTTGCTCTAGCCTCAAAACTGAGTTACTGAACAAGACCAATAGTACACTGATTTAATTTTCTTGGCTTCCCTCCTCCACCAACTAAGATTATAGATCAGTGGTAGACAGTTCTGCTTGTCTCTCTGGTAGGTGAAGCCTAATATAGAAAGGCCATTTCTAGAGAGAATGAAGGGGAGGTAGGGGAGAGAGAAAGGGAAATATCCTTCAATTTCACACTCCTAAAAATTTGAGGAAAGAATAAAACCTAATTTCCCATTTAGTTTTAATGGTTGCATTTGTTGTTGTTGTTTTGTTGTTTTTCATAGAATCATAGAATTATAGAGTTGGAAGAGACCACAAGGGCCATCTAGTCCAACCCCCCTGCCATGCAGGAACTCCCAATTAAAGCATCCCCGACAGATGGCCATCCAGCCTCTGCTTTTTCTATCTTTCTCTCTCTGTATAGACTGTCAAAGAAAGTCCACTATTGTGTATGTGTTGCATAACTGTATTGTGTTTTAAACTGCATTCTAAACTACTTTAGTCTATGATTTTACAAAGGGTGGTATGTGAATATCATAAACAAACAAACAAATACATGAATAACAAATTGACCATCTAATTATTTATTTGAATATATAATTATGAAATATTCAAAACTAACACTAATGAAAATGTGCAAGTGTACACAAGAACATAAAAAGAACCTTGCTGAATCTGAACAAAAGCCTGTCTGCTCCAGTGTCAGAATCTATACCATCTTTTGTGTATGGAATCTGCCATGAATGCTTATGTTGATTTATGTGTATTTTATTTTACTGGGGCTGACGGGAGATGCTTAGACTGGGGCTTGTGTGGTGGTCGATAGTATAGTAGTGCTTAATGTGCTTAGTAACTGTGGGACAACACAAACCAGCACAATACGCCGGCTTCCCAGTGCTCCAGCAGTGCACCATTCAGACAGTACACACGACTGGAGTGCTAGGAATTAGCATGGCTGACCACATGTGGGCCAGCTTTCTGACACTGTGACAGCATGGCATTTACACTCTGTGCACCACAACAGAGCCAGGAAGCCACCACTTCCCAGGGAACACCAGGACCGGTATTTTTGCACCGAGAAAAAGCCAGAGAGGGGCCATGGTGTGCAGTTGCTATAGCCCCCACTCAGCTTTCTCAGGTGCGGCATCACACCGCCTCTTAGGGACAGTCTGTTTTACCCCTGTGTTAGCTTCTGAGAAGAGGTTGTGGAATGTGGGGGTGGATTTTTACTGTTGGTCTGTGTCTTATCTTTAGGTAGAGGTTTGAAGATTTTTCAGGCAGGAGATGGGGGGAAACTGTTAGACATTGTTATGATTAGAATTAGCAATGTGTGCCAATTATAGGCAATGGAGTTAATTAATACTAATGCTTTTATTATGTGGTGGTGGGCATGGAACCTTAGATCTGACCTAGAGACACTACAAATGGCTTCTGTTTCTGATGTCTGCAATAAAAGTCTTTTGTTTTCTTTCACCAAGACTGATTGACTGTGCATTGGTTCTGACATTCACTGTCCAACTTGATATCTGTGAGAAGCCCTAACTAGCAAATGAAACAATAGCCTATGCATGTTTCCCAGATATTCCCTGAGACATTCTGTCTCTGATACTGAAGGAGCATCTCTTCAACTAGTAGCCACTGGTACCAAAGTATAATGCCTAGATATGCACTAGGTCTGACATCCAGCATGGTGTAGTGGTTTGAGTGTTGGACTATGAATCAGGAGATCAGGGTTTGATTCCCTGCTTGAGCATAAAAACCCACTGGATGACCTTGGATAAGTCACATTCTCTCAGCCCCAGAAGATGGCAATGGCAAACCTCTGAAAAAAACCTGTCCAAAAAAAACCCTATAATAGGTTCACATTAGGATTACCATAAGTCAAAAGTGACTTGGAGACATAAAACAACAACAACAACAACATGACCAAAATTTACCATTGTGTTGATACAATATAGCCCCTTCAAATTTTTGCTTGGAAATTCTCCCATTTTGCAATTTTCTTCCATATCTCACTAGTGCCACAAGCCTCAAAATGGCAGCTCTTTCTCCTCTAAACACTACACCCATTCTTGTTTACCTTATTACATTAAAGTATACAATCACCCCATCCTCATCACAAAAATTGAGCTTTCATTTGATTTGTTTTCCCAAATGTTATTTGGAGCAAGCTGATGTTTTGACCACAAATGATTTCAAAAGAAAATGACACATGAAAAGAAGTGGGAGAGGATAGAAACAGTAAGAAACAACAAAAAAGCATTTAAAGTCAATCAAACTTCAACCCAACATTCAGCAGTGCTCCATAAACAAAAAGGATAGCATTAATCATACATAATTATCAATCAGTGACACAAAGATTAGAACACATTGGCCAAACACACAACCATGTCAAACAAGCATGTGTCTGAGAAGAAAATATTTACTCATATCCTGAAAACTCATTTCAGGCCTGTGGAATATTATTGTCATAAAGAGTCACCCGTTAATAAGAAATCCCTCTGAATGTCAAGATCCCCCAAAAGATATTGAACCATCATTTTTACTTACAAGTTATTATACCTCCCAGCACTTGCCCCTAATGTGTGTCAGGCTTCATGTGACCATATATGTCAAGTTCCACAGGCTAACTGATGTGCTTTCCACCATGCCAATAAACCTGCTGGTAGAATGGAGGAAAATAAACCCCTTGACATCTTTGCCAATAATTGTGAAGATTTCTTCTTGTTGAGAAGATTGTTCTTCAGATATTATTAGAACATAATCCAAATGTTTCTATCACCGTCCTAACTTTTGACATTGTTGTTAACCATGGTGAACACATAGTTCAGCCTTCATCAAGTAATATTTTGCAAATGGACATGAAAGAACAAATACAGCCCCAAGTCCAAACAAATCTTACCAGTTCCAGGAACACTGAATCACAATCCCTGTCAGTTTATCTGAGTGTTAGCATGTTAACCTTGTGTGTAACCCTCTCCTTGCAAAAAGACTTGCAGACCCTTAAGGATTCTTTTTCACGCATGTCTGTATAATCTTTAACAAATGTAATACTGATCCCCTAGAGGGCTAGCAGGGAACTAATAAGGAAAAGTTAATTTAGCCAACAAGATCCCTAACATGATCTAAAATATTGTCGGTCTTAATCAATTGTGTGAATAACACCTTCAATATTCCCAGGCATCTCATACTTGGCACCTTTAGACAACACAAGAAAGGTTCAAAGCTGGAGCCATATGCTCCATTTTTCTATTACTTATTCCAGGGGTAGGCAACCTTTCCCCTTTAAGGGCCGAGGGACTTCAGCTCCCAGAAGCCTCAGCTATGTTGGCCAATAGTCCCATATTGGCCAATAGCTCATGGGATTCTGGGAGCTGAAGTCCCTCGGCCCTTAAAGGGGAAAGGTTGCCTACCCCTGACTTATTCAATCATTTGTTGTTGTTAACTGCTCTCAAGTCAACCCTGACTCGTGGCAACCCTGTGGATGAGACATCTCCAAGCCTTCCTGTCTTCTACTGTATTGCTCAGGAACCTGTAAATTCATACCCACGACCTCCCTAATTGAGTCTATCCATCTTGCATAGTGTCTCCCTCTCTTTCTACTGCCCTCTAGAATTGTTGTCTTTTTCTTTTTCATTATTGACTTTTCCACATCATGAGAAGTCATGCTTTCTCTTGATGTGGCCAAAGTATGACAGCCTCAGTTTGATAATCTTGGCTTCCAGGGCAATTTCAGGCTTAATTTCAGGTTCAATGACCCATTTGTTTTATTTATTTATTTATTGTATTTATACCTCACTTTTCAGAAATGCTCTCTGAGTGGCTTACAAATTGGTAATTGGACAGTTCCCTCAGTCTTATAATCTAAAGACATGACACACAAGGAAAGGGGTTGACAGTGGGGAAGGGGATTGAGTCCAGCAGAAATTGCCTCTTATTATCTCCCTCCAAGGCTAGGGTGATGCCAGTTGAAATGGAGGGATGGCTGTTCTTCTGTCTCTAGGCTAGGCATGGAGCTGTGCCAGCCTCTCCTCTCTCTCCACAATATCTTCAGCATTCTTTTCCAGTACAAAATCAATATGAATTGATTTTCTTCTTGTCTGTTTTTTTCACTGTCCAGCTCTTGCATTCATATATGATGATGGGGAATACAGTGGGACCTTGTTATTCACTGGAGTTTGGTTTGGTTCCAGAATCCCCCATGACTAACAAAATACATGGATGCTCAAGTCCCATTAAATATAATGGCAGAGCAAAATGGTGTCTCTTATATAAAATGGAAAATCAAGTTTGGTATTTGGAATTTATACTTTTTCTGAATATTTTCAAACTGTGATAAAAATAAAAAAAATCATGGATAAGGAGGGCTGACTGTACAATGGCTTGGACAAGTTTAACTTTTCTGCTCAGTTGTATATCCTTACTCTAAAATCTTTTCTAGCTCTTTCATGGCTGTCCTTCCTATTCTTAGTCTTCTTCTGATTTCTGGACCGCAGTCTCCATTCTGATCGATGTTTGACCCTAGGTGTGGGAATTCTTTTACTATTTCAAATACCTCATTGTCTAGGCAGAATGTGTGTAGGTCCTCCATGGTCATTATTTTTGCTTTTTTTAATGTTCAGTAATAAGCCTGCTTTTGTGCTTTATTCTTTGGCCTTCCTTAGTAATTGTTCCAAGTCCATGATGTTTTCCACTGGTGTCATCTACATATCTTAGATTGTTGATATTTCTTCCTCATATCTTTACTCCTCCTTTTCCTCAGTCTATGCCTGCTCTTCATAGCATGGAAGGTGAATAGATAGGGTGATAGAATGAAACCTTGCCTGAAACCTTGACTGGTGAGGGACCATTCTGTTTCGCCATGTTCTGTTCTAACAGTAGGCTTTTGTTTTCTCATCAGGACTTTGACATGGGGAGCCACTTGCATACCTTTGAGAGAATTTCATGGCTTTTCATGATCTATCTAGTCAAAGGCTTTGATTATGATTTTCTTTTGGAATTCCTTGGTGTGCTCCATTAACTATCATATCTTTGCAATGTAGTCCCTAGTATCTCTTCCTTTCCTGAACTATGCTTGAACTTCAAGGATTTCTCTCTCCAGGTATGATTGGAGATGATGTTGCAGAATTTTGAGCATAATTTTGCTTCCATGAGAAATTAATGCTATGGTCCTGTACTTGCTGCAATCTTTTAGAAATGTAGAATTGTAGATTTGGAAGAGACCCCAAGGGCCATCAAGTCCAACCCTTCTGCCATGCAGGAACTCACAATCAAAGCACCCCTGACAGATGGCCATCCAGCATCTGCTTAAAGACCTCCAAGAAGGAGTCTCCACCATTCTCCAAAGAAGTGTGTTCCACTGTAAAACAGCTCTTACTGTCAAGGAGTTGTTCCTAATGTTTAGGTGAAATCTCTTTTCCAGTGGTTTGCATTCACTGCTATGTGTCCCAGTCTCTGGAGTGGCAGAAAACAAGCTTGTTCCATCCTCAATATGATACCACTTCAAATATTTAAACAGGGCTATCATATCACCTTTTAACCTTCTCATCTCCAGGCTAAACATCCCCATCTCCCTAAGTAGCTCCTCATAGGGCATGGTTTCCAGACCCTTCACCATTGTGGTTGACCTCCTCTGGACATGCTCTTAGTTTCTCAACATCATGTTTGAATTTTTGTGCTCAGACTGGGTGCAGGATTCCAAATGAGGCCTGACCAAGGCTGAATAGAATGGTATTATTATTAATTTCCTCAATCTAGACACTGTACTTCTATTGATGCAGCCTAGAATACCATTGGTCTTTTTAGCTGCTACATCACATGTTCAACTCATGTTCAACGTTTAGTCTACTAAGGCCAATGGAGTTAGAGTTGGGGTGGGGCAGCTACACTGTGGCCATCCCAACTCCAAATTGAAGCCATCCTGACACCACGTGCCTGTCTGCATGGCATGCAGTGTCAGGACACCGTCTTGCCATCCTGATGGCAAAAAGGAGGATCAGGGCCATGGCATGTGGTTGCTGCAGCCCCAATCCAATGGTCCCAGGGGTGGCTCTGTGCTGCCTCTTTCGGGCCATCTGCATCAGTCCTAAGATTCCTAGATCCTTTTCACATATAGTCTCATTAAGCCAAGTGTCCCCCATCCTATATCTATGCATTACCTTTTCTTTACCCTAAGTGAAGTACCTTACATTTCTCCATGTTTGTTAGCTTTGGCCCAGCTTTCTAATCTATTAAGGTCTTTTTGAATTTTGATCCTCTCTTCTGGGATATTATCTACTACTCCTAATTTTATGTCATTTGCAAAATTGATATGCATGACCCCTATTATTTGATCTAAGTCAGGGGTAGGCAACCTTTCCCCTTTAAGGGCCGAGGGACTTCAGCTCCCAGAAGCCTCAACCATGTTGGCCAGTAGTCCCATGTTGGCCAATAGCTCCTGGGATTCTGAGAGCTGAAGATTAAAGGGGAAAGGTTGCCTACCCCTGATCTAAGTCATTGATAAAGTTGTTGAATAGCACTGTGCCCAGGACAGAACCCTGTGGCACCTCACTGGTCACCTCTCTCCAAGATGAAGAGGAACAATTGCTAAGTGCCCTTTGGGTTTGGCCAGTGAACAAATTACAAATCCACCTAAAAGTTACATTGTCTTGCCCACATTTTACTAGCTTGTTTGCAAGAATATCATGGGAGACCTTGTCAAGGGCCTTACTGAAATCAAGATATGTAATATCTTCTCCACGCATTGGCCCTA